AGACAGGGCTCATAAATTAATCTTTATCACTGCCTTCCAGTTTCTTTTAATTACTCATTTCTCAGCTTTTTAAATTTCTGGAAAACATTACTATATCCATCATCAAATGCTCCCAACCATTCCTGGAAATATTTCTACACATTAATATCAATTTTAAAAAAGTAGGTTTATGGAGCTTCCTAAAAATCTTAATCTTCATCATCAAGTGAGTAACTTCCCTGCTTGATATCTCAATGCATCTATACCTTTAACACCTAGAATTAGGCGTCTTCAAACTGCGGCCCGCAGAGGAGTCTGATCCGGCCCGCCAGGTTTTTTGGGCAGTGAGCGCAGCCGAGGTGTTACAGTAGGAATTAGTAGTTCATATAGTCCGGCCCTCCAGCTCTCTGAGGGACCGTGATCTGGCCCCCACTTTAAAAAGTTTGAGGACGCCTGTGACCTAGATGATGAATAGAACCTTTATTTCAAATGCGTTTCCTATACATTATCTACATATAGAACCTAAGAACCACCAAAGGTAATTTAGACTGTGGCTTAAAAAAGGACTGCAGCTTCCAGGGATAAGAATAAGTTATTTTTAGGAAGAACACTCACTCAAATGGGGCTCTGTGAAGGAAAATAATGGTAACCTTTCAGTTCATACACATTTTAAGTGTTTTAATGGACAGATGTTTAATAGTAAATATAACATACCCTCTGTCATTGAGATGAATTAGAGGAAAATGGTTAACACAGGTGCCATGTTTTTTAACAGGAAGTGATGATGAGAAACTGGAAGTCATAGGCAAGTTAATGGTAACTGCAAGGCATCCCTCACATATATACTAAATGATGACTTCTCCAAGGGCTGAGAGAAAATGAGAAATCATGGGACTAAACAAGGGAAATGGCAGATATTGAGTAGACTTCCCATGAGTGATCAAATAAGAATACAATCACACTATACTGGTATTTTTAAAATAAGGAATAAGGCATAATATATGGCAAAGAGTTATAAAAATAGGTATATTCTGGTATTTAAATGAGAAGTACAAATGTAACTGAATGTTAAATAAACTATTCTTCAATATAGAGCACAATCCTGGTATTATTACAAAATAAAATAATTTCAAATTAATGAACCTATTTACTAGTATGTTCTTTGTTTAAACCACATGTGTCAAACACAAGGCCCGCGGGCCAAATCCGTCCCGCCAGGCCTTGCAATGTGGCCCGCACCGCGCTGTCATCACTGCACTCCGCTGCGTTTCCATCACAATGACAGTTTATGACTGTTCAGTAAACCATTCGGCCCGCGATTTAGGCTGGATTTTAGATTTTGGCCCCTTCTCTGATTGAGTTCGACACCCCTAGTTTAAACAATAATAGAAAATAGGATGATCTAAATTTAACTCCCTTAGAAGTCAGGAAAAATATAAAAATGAAGTTTAATAGTCATATACGAAAGCTCAATCACAATAAACTATGAGATAAGTGTTTATAACTAATTGCACCCACCTTGTTTAAATACAGAAAAAGAGGAATAGAAAATAAACTAAGCAATTTATTTACTGACTAAAAGAATAAGAGTTTTGAGGGGATTTTATGGTTTATTATAAAAGTTTTACAGACGAAAACCTTTATTTCAGAACTAAACAAAATTGTGTGGTAGCCTGAATGTATAATCAATGACTCAGAATAAGTAATAATAAAAGATAGTTAGGTGAATTCTAATTTACAACACTTATAGAACGTGTGAGGATGCTGGCTATATCAATCAGGGTCCAATTAGGTGACAGAAACCATGCCTGTACTTTGAGAAGCTGTGAATATAGGAATGCAAACTGGTACAGCCACTATGGTAAACAGTATGAAGATTCCTCAAAAAACTAAGAATAGAGTTACCATATGACCAAGCACCCTGGGTTTCTACCTGAAAGTTTTAAAGAGATTTATTCGTAAAGATATATGTACCCTTATGTTCATTGCAGCATTAGTCATGGTGGACAAGACATGGAAACAACCAAAGTATTATTTGATAGATGACAGAATAAAGAATATGTGGTATACTTAAAATGTAATGTTACTAAACCATAAGAAAATATGATACACTGACATTTGCAACATTACGGATGGATCTTGAGAATATTGTGCTAAAGGAAATAAGTCAGAAAAAAATAAAAACCATATGATTTCACTCATATTTGGGATATAAAACTGAAAGCAACAAATATGCAAGTAAGACGAACCAACAAACAAAAACTCATAGACACAGACAATAGTATGTTAGTTACCAGAGAGGATCAACTATATGGCAACAGAAGAATATCTAACTTTGGGTGGTAAACGCACAATGCAATATACAGATAATGCATTATAGAACTTTACACTTGGAACCTATATAATTTTTTTAACTAATGCTAGCCCAATAAATTTAGTTAAAAGGAGAATGATTAACTAGTTAAAAAAGTGTTAACTACTAAAGGAAGTGAACAAGGAGTAGCAACTGCAGAACACAGATATTGCCCATAGGCTGAGGGAGAGGGAACAGGCAGAGCCTCCCACTCCAGGTCTAAGAGTCAGGTATCTGTGGAGAGGATGTGAGCACACAGGAACTCTCCTAGTGACCGAGATACTTTGAGAACACATAGGCCCCAGAGGATAAGGGTTACAGGTAGTGCTCTGGTCTTGTTCCCTCACAGCATTTAACATATTAACAAATTTGGAAGATAGATAGATAATTTTATTGTAAATAGTGAAAGTAACACATTAAATAGAAGCAGAGTCATTTCCCATATTTTAAAACATTTGGATTTTAGAACTGTTCAAACTTTTCAGTTGAATAAATTTATCCAATTAACCAATATGAGCTTAGTAATCCAAGAGGCTCAAGAAATTTGATATTATAAGTTTTTTCTCATTCCTGTGTATTACTGGGTTCCAAAAAAGCGATTTCAATATTTTTATTATCATATAGTTTTTAAAAATTGACTGTCAGATTGAAGTTTGACATATTCAACTCCATAGTTGTTGTGTATGTTTTTCTCTACTAGCTTTCCATAACAAGTCAAAAGTCTTTGAACTCATAGGCTTCATAGCCTGAAAGTGGTGAATGTTTTTCCAGAAGATTTTCAAATTTTTTAAAATTCCTCCCTCTCCTGGACTCAGTTCAATTTTTTTCTAATAGGAAGCATACTTTAAACAGCCTTGATTTCAATGTTTTTAATACGTTATTTTACTTTATTGCTCTTCACTGAGAGAATTTACTATCAACTTGCTTTGCTTTTTTTAAATTTTATATTTGTTAATATTTTGTTGGCTCTTTGTTTCGTGTATCAGGGACTTTGAAAAACTAAGCAAATTTGCAGATTTCCCAAACACATCCATACATGACAGTGTGATATTAGAAGATACCTGAAATTAACTAATATAAAGTAAATGCTTTGTACATTACCCATTTGCTACATAGAAAATGAGGAAGATTGTCAATGGGTTAATTTTAGGGAGAAAAATTACTGTTTTGAAATAAAATACAAAGATTACTACCATATTTTATTCTCAATAACATTCAATTTGGGAGTATCCTCTTGCATTTAAATATAAGGAAATGATGTCAGGAGCTGACCTATTATTTTCAAAGACAAAGGTTATTGCACACAAAATAAATTACTTTTTCTAGTTTACATGTTCAATTCAAATTATTTTAATGAATTAACTAACACTCTTTATAGTTTCCTGAAATGTATATGTTTAAAGTTTTTAGCAAAAGTAACCCTGCATGTAGTTAAGCTGCCTTAAGCGGACGTCTGTGGATGCTACTCCTATTTCCTTTATCCTCACTTAGGAAGGATATTTGGTCACACATACTCCTACACACACAGCTCAGTTATTCACTATGTTCTCGGACTCTTCTTTCCATCTCCCATCTATTTTTTTTATTATTATTCCAGGTCTCTTCCCCTTCCTTCCTTCCTTCCCACCCACTCAACTCAACCACCCACTGAAATCCTGAGTTTTGTTCTTAGGTAGTTTTTCAAAATTAACATCCCCCCCCCCCCCCCCCCGTTTCCCTTCAGAAATACTTCTGCAAGCCTCCTTATTCCTCCTTGGAGACCACTTGCTCACCTCAGCTCTGCAATCATTCTCCAACCTCTACTTACCCCTACAGAGGTTTAGACCATTTCTTGCACTTCCATTTCCCTCTCTGTAACAAAATATTTCTTTGGAGGGGGCAGCCAAGAATACCAAGAAGTAAATTCTGAAAACCAGTGCAGTAACAGGGCTTTGAATTAGATGAGTAATTTTGCAAAGCTTTGCTAATACTAAAGTGCACTATGGTGAACGCCTAGCTGATTGTATTTTCATTTGTAATGAGGAAGTACTGCCAAGAGTTTCAATCAAGCTTACGTATAACAGCCCACATTACCTAAGATTCCATACTATTACAGAGCTCTTCTGAATGACCCTGATAATTAGGATGTGAAGTTTGAATCTGTGTGTGTGTCTGTAGACTCCAGCAAGCACATCATAATAAGAACAAAGTAAGGCAATATATAAGGTGTCCCCAAAATGTATACATACATTTTGAATAATTATAAAGGCAGTGTTTATTAAAATACATTTTAGTTTCAAAATTGAGCTATCACTTATTAAAGTGTGTGTACATTTTTTGTGGACACCCTGTATAAAAAGTAATGTTATATCCAACAATTTTTAAAAAGATTCTTGTAAGAAATTAAAGAAATATGAAAAATGCATGTCTAATAATTTCACTTTTTATTTTTTAATTTTATTGTTTAAGGTATTACAAATATTAGTACATATGTCTTTAATTTCATGTTTTAAAAAGTGAAATCAGATGGTTTCTATTTAATTTGAAAAGTAAATTTGCATTATTAATCTTTACATGCAGCAACATAAACAATGTTATTCATTAGTTTGATAAATATTTACTAAACACCAACCATGAGCCAAACACAGTACAACATAAATTATCAATAAAGCCTTGATTTGCAACTTACCATGGGCCATGCGATGGAACCAATAGTAGCCAAGGTCAACTCCTAAGAAAGTTAAATACCAAGTCCATGGAGAATCCCAAGGCAAAATGATGAGCCTGTAGTTCTCCCAGATATAAATGTAGCTGGTCAGTTCAATGCTCCTGAAAAACAATCTGGAAAAATAAGATGAACAAGCAATGATTATACCACATTTTAGATGCAAAATTATGCTAAAACATTTTAATTATATTTAAAAATTAATATGGTCGTGTGTAAAAATATAATCCTTCCCCCTTTTTGATTATTCACTCCATCGTGTCTTTTAAGAGGCTCAATTTTCCTGGTATCAAAATGACTCACATAATAATGTTTCCTTGTTTGGATTCCCAATTTCATGGAACTTAGGATGTCATTCACTTTTTATGTCTCCTAAGATGCTTTTCTTGGAACCCATAAACATAAACATGACACAACTTTGACTTGCTTTCTGTACTTGTCATTTCTAAGTCTTATCACAATAGGATGTTTTTTAAAGGAAGTTACTATAAAAGTAGAAATTATAAATAGCATATTTTAAAAGGTGTCTGAAAATCACCTATGCCTTAAAATATGTTACTCCCATCATATTTCCCTTTAATTGAAGGTGCTTCTGCTAACAATTCTTTCTTCCTCTCTACTATCTCCTTCCTCTCTCTCTCTCTCTCTCTCTCTCTCTCTCTCTCTCTCTCTCTCAATGGTTTTTAGATGTCATTCTTAATATTTCAAACTGGATATTCATAGCATTTCAATATTTCTTGTTGTAATATAAAATACAGCTCTTATGGTATAAGGGAATAACCTTCCCTTAGAAATAAAGTACACAGTATATGAACTGAGTTAAAATAAACAATTGTTTTTAAAACCCAGACAACAGAATGTGTCTTGCCACCCATTGTACCAAGCTGTAAATTATAAATTCTTATTTTAAGAACATTCAAAAAGTACACAAAATAAACTTCAATTTTATAAAGTGTGATAATTGTTTTCTTTAAATTACTGTGATCAAATTTAAGATCAGACTCAAGATAAATATTCCATTTATTCTTTTAAAAATTTGATGGAAATTACTTTTCTTTCATATTTGTCATTTATGTGTAAAATGAACTGATAATTCTACCTCATAACATTTATTTATAAAACATGAACAAGCGATAAAATTCTTAAATATTCTATTTTAAATAGAAGTTGAAGAAGTAGCTTAAATTAGTATATTGTTAAAATTCACCATTTTAATAGTATTTCCCTTTATACAGTCACCTTCTTTGATTTAGCATGATACTGGCCCTTTTGAAGACTAAGTGTTTAATTTTAATGTACTTTTCATTTAATTATGATATTATTTTAATTATTAGTTACTGACATTAAAATTGCCACGTTTTGTATGTTTCTATCATTTAATCTGTAAAATAAAACAGTAGGTTACTTTACAACAGCAATTAATATAAATAATAGAAATGCCAAAATGCCTACACTTTTTATCTAAAACCCAATTTTCAATTGGAATTATTTTTAGTTTGTAAAATGGCCCTTGTACCCATTTTACAATAAGATGGGTAAGAAGATGCCCAAGAAAGAGAAAAGACCACTTCAGGTTGGTAGATGGTAAATTTAACAAGCATGAAAACTTACAACTGCAAGACAAGTAAATCTCCACACCATCCCACCAGAATCTTTAAAGGGTTTGGTGCCAGATTACTGCAATTAAGTGAGTCATAACCTTTTTTTGCTGATGGAGGATCTTGCCTTCAATTTCTTTACAAAATAAATGCAACACCTGTGAGGTTCAATAAAGTGAATTTCAGTAAAATTAGGTATGTCTGTGTAAAGGCTTTAACTAGGTTTAGTCACGTATTCAATCCAGATGGTCTCAACAACACCTCACTCTCTCTCTCTCTCTCAAGGCTACATCCTGAAACAGCTGCTGATACAGGACTCGGAGGCAGAACATACATTTCAAGGACAGGAGATGAGGTTAAGAAGCTCTCAATTGTCCAGGTCCAGTTGATGGGCAAGCCAGCATTCCTCTCGATGACCTTCAGCAATTATATGGTTGGAAAGAACATTTTTGTCCCTGAGTGTGGGTTTTGATCCAAAGGAACTACCTGCCCAGAATTCCTCTCACAACCTGGGCCATATTCTGGATATTCCACAATCCCCTGTCCAATGGTCCAAGCCAGTTTACAATACCTGCTTGGGCCTGGCTCCTAGTCCAGTCCTTCAGAAGGCTGAGCTGTGCAAGTGTGCAAACTCCTAGACATGACTAGGCAGTCAAGAGCATCTATTTTTGGTCATGTAGTCAGAGCTGGATAAGCAATCTGGGATGTCCACCACACATGTGTATGGGGTCCCTTACAAGACAGGGGCCCCCACACTCTTCTGGAAATCTAAGGAATCTAAATGTAAACCTTGTCTTTGAGTTTGTTATATAGGTTATTTGTCAAAGTAGGGGGTGGAGAAGTAGAACAAATTTTATTTTAAAACATGTAGCTTGGTTGGTAACTTTTATATTTAGATTAAGCTTCTCAGGTGTCATTATTGACATTTGGACAACTTAATTCTTTTTTTATATATATAAATAACAAAAGGGTTTGCTGCTTCTTTTTTTAAAAATATATTTTGTTGAGATACTACAGAGAGGAAGAGAAAGGGATAGAGTTAGAAACATCAATGAGAGAGAAACATCAATCAGCTGCCTCTTGCACTTCCCCTACTGGTATATGCCCTTGGCCAGAAATGAACCCGGGACCTTTTAGTCCGCAGGCCCATGCTCTAGAGATCTGTGCTATGAAAAGTGCTACCCGAATTATGAAATCTTAAAATTGTTTCCTGGATAAAAATGGTAACTAATGACAATTTTATATGGTTCAGTCTAATAATTTCTTTAAAACAAGGATTTTAAACCTTGACACTATTGTCATTTAGACCAGATAATTCTTCTTTTTTTTTTTAAACATATTTTTATTAATTTTAGGGAGGGAGAGAGAGATAGATGCTGATGAGAATCATTGCTTGGCTGCCTCCTACATGCTCCCCACTGGGGATTGAGCCCACAACCTGGGCATGTACCCTTGACCGGAATCGAACCTGGGACCCTTGAGTCTGCAGGATGATGCTCTATCCACTGAGCCAAACCGGCTAGGGTGAGGCCAGATAATTATTTGTTGTGAAGGCCTGTCCTGTGAATTGTAGGCTGTTTAGCTGCATACCAGACCTCTATTTACTAGATAAGCGTAGCACAGCCCTCTCCCAAGTTGTGGCAACAAAAGGCCCAAATATCTGGGGGATGAGGGAATTAGGGGGACAAAATTTCCCCAGTTGATACCCTAAAAAAAAGGCTGATCCAGAAAGAAAAATTAAAATTGAGAAAATACAACAGAAAATTGAAATAACCTACAGCTTTTTACATAAGCTTTAGCACAGGCTGTCAAAACTGATCCATTCATGGATTCGTTCAATAAATTTATATTAAGAGCTTACTGGGTGCCAGGAACAGCACAAGTCAGGGAGGACATGTAAGTGAACGGAACAAATATTGGTATAATCACCAGCCTCATTAAATACCCCAACAGTTCAGAATCTTTGTGTGGAGGTTTTTAAAGTTACTGTCTCTTTTGTCAGTTCAGGTCACAAATGAAACAGATTTTAAGACACGGAGTCTTTATTAAACAAAGACCCTGCCTGCATTTGAAATACTTTTTTTTTTTTTTTTCCTGTATAGGTACCCGATCTTGAGCAGACACCCAGTTTATCACTTTGTCAACTTACTTATTAAGGTTGACACAAATCGAGCTGAAATATACCTGGCATCCTACAGTAATGGCTTCCCCCCCCCCACACACACACACTTTAGCAAGAAGCCAAACTTTCTTCAAGGTGAAGGGAAAGAGGGGAGAGAAGCTATGAGAATTAAATTCCCTGTTTTCTATCAGCAAGATGAAAATTATCTTCCATCAGAAACGGAGGGGGGTGGGGGGGAGAGGAAAAAAACAAAAGCAGCCAGGGACTGCCCACAATCCAGCAAAGGATACAGCTGAGAAAGGATTATCAAGCTCTGGAAAGCCCTTGGTTGCAGGAAATAGCACCTACATTTTCAAAAATGTTCCCACCAGACCTTGAATCATCAACCAAAGTGCCTTCCTCTTTCTTTTTTAAATCCCTTCTTTTCTCCCAGTCCCAACCCCCAGCATATGACTCTGCACTCTGGAATTCAAACTTCAACTTTGTGAACCCCATCCTGTGGGAAGTGAAATATGTAATATGTATGTAAATACGAGCTTACTGTATTGTGTGGAGATGGAATATTGGGAAGTTCAGGGACTTTGAATAACTAAATACTATATCCCTTTTACTCACTAAATTTGAATACAAGACCACAAAATGTTCAAATTATAAGAAGACATTAGAATTCTCTAACCAACAATCTGTAATAGAGGTTTCCTTTTCATTGTCCTATTTTTTTTTTTTTCCATAAATTACCCCCCAAAGAACAAATTTCTCTTGGATCTGAGGTTGGTCTTTTGGAAAATGAGAAGTAGCTAATTCTTTATGTGTTTATATAACATTTTCTCTCAACACTAGAAATGTGTCCTGTCAATATTTAGTTACTATAAAATCTGGTGAGGTGCTAAATTGCTCTTCCATATGATCCTGCATTTTTAAAAATATAAAGGTAATTTTATAATGTTTAGAGTTTTAACTAATAAGTTAGAATGAATATCATTTGGCACAGAGATTACTAATTAAAGCTAATTAGTTATGACAGCCATCTTGGCTTGAATGTAGAATGGAAAGGTAGTGTTGGGCAAGTCATTCCCTCTTTCAGGTCTGAGGGCATTAGGCTGCATAGACAATAAATTTATCTTGATCTCAAATACTTTTATGCTTTAATCATTAATCAAGCAAATGAAATTTGATGCTCTCATTGCAAACTTAAAATTTCAAAGCAACTTGCAGCATTATGAATTATGTCCCCTTGTACTCACAGACATCTGCCAATTTATACTATTTCATAACTGTTATTAGAGCTGTGTGCACTGTCCGATTTGGCCAGATTATGCAAAGTTGAAAAAAAAAGTTTTAGTTCTAATAATCTTGTCCCATAAATCATAAAATAAATCAATATTTAAATGAGATT